CGTGACAGATAACATATTTTCTGCCAGCTACACCATGAACCAGTTTCCCACCTCATTTTTTTTTTTTTTTTAGATCAAAAATAAATGAGGAAATGGAAAGTCTCAGGAGATTTTGCCTTAAGCAGTGGCTGAGTTCCCCTGGGTGGTAGCAAAGTGCTCTGCCGGATGCCTTGAACATGAGAGCAACTCTTAAGCAGCACCCAGTAGGCCCTCAGGACACTGACCCAGTTCTAGAGGATTTGATTCTTTCAGCAGAGCCCCCCACTGCTCCAGGAAGTCTTATGTCTAAGAGCCCACCCCTCTACCGCCAGAGGAAGCAGACCCTTGGGTTTGTAGCCATCTGAGGAAACTATCCAGCAAATATCTCAAGATCAAACCTCAACTCCCCTCATCGCCTCCTAACACTACTAGATGCAATCTCTTTTAGAGTGTGTTCAGGGGACCACTGCCGGTGGCATGGGTCTGTCACCAGCTCATCACCAATGCAGACTAACAAAGCCCTCTCTGGAGCAATAACAAGCAGCCTGTGGTCCGAACCCAATCTTCCAGAACCTTACCTATGACCTTGGGCCTGGCTGCAGCTCTGCCCAGCCTTCCAGAAAGGAATGAAAGGGGTACAGAGAACTACCTTGTGTGGGAACTGGTGGTGGCAGTTGCTTTACAGAAGGCACGTAGGCTCCTTGTTCCCGGCCAAGGGAGGAAGAGTTTGTTCTAGGGCATGTCCGCTCACCAGGCGGGAGGAAGATGGAGCACTTCCCCCAGAGCAGAGCTGGTAGGAGCTGCTGTCTTGCAGGTTGGCACCCAGAGGCCCTTCCTTAAGTAGCCACCTTCTCACACTGGCCAGATTGTTCCACATGTGTAAGCCAGGCCCCATCTCTGCCCTACAGAACATGCACCATCCAACTGGGTCACCAGGAGCTTCTCTCTTGGCCCTCCATCTCTCCTCTCTCTTTGAGCACATGTGGCACATTCTTGTATGTCTAGCCAGACCCACAGCCTACGTGAAGACTTCACCCACAAATCAAGATGGAAGGTGGTGGGATTTCCTTCCCCTAACACTTGAAAGACTCACCTCAAGCCTCTTTGGCCATACCTGCTACTGCAGGGACCTGAGCCTCACGACCTCTGCGTCTCCCTGACCCTCCTTCTGCTTCCTTCTAATCTCTGCCCGTTAAGCCAACCGAGCAGAATACTCTTGCTGTGGCATGTTCTGTATGTTAAAGGTGTTGCTCTGATTGGTTAATAAGTAAAACACTGATTGGCCAGTAGCCAGGCAGGAAGTATAGGCGGGACAAGGAGAGAGGAGAATTCTGGGAAGTGGAAGGTTGAGGCAGAGAGACACTGCCAGCCGGCGCCATGAAAAGCGAGATGTAAGATACCAGTAAGCCATGAGCCACGTGGCAACTTGTAGACTAATAGATATGGGTTAATTTAAGATATAAGAACTAGATAACAAGAAGCCTGCTGCAGCCATAGAGTTTGTAAGCAATATCTCTGTGTGTTTACTCAGTTGGGCCTAAGCAGCTGTGGGACTGGCAGGTGAGAGATTTGTCCTGACTGTGGGCCAGGCAGGACTGGAGAAAACTCCAGTTACATCCCCATTCCACCCCTCACAGTTTTCTGAAAATTCCTTCCCTACCCATGATTCTTTGAAAAAAGCAGTGTTGTTGGCCCAGTCTTAAGATCCAGCCTGGACCTCACTTTCTGGTAAGGCTTACAGCCCTTTTCATGCAGGACATCACCTGTGTGCCCCCCTGGATCCTTCGCTGGAATCTTTCACATGGCTGCCTGTCATGTGACTCTGTTTCAGCATGCCATGTGCTTCTGAGGGTGCTCCTGGAGCATGAGGAAGCCCTTTGCCTCCAGTACCTGCCCTGGAGCCAGGCATGCACCCAGCACACAGCAGTTGCCGGGGTATGTGATGAGGAACACTGCAGACCACAGAGGCACCATGTTGGGAAATTCAAGTCGAGAATCCAACAGTATCACACCCTTCTATTAGAAACCCTGTGTGTGCCAGAGGGGCAGTCGGAAACCCAGAAAGAGACGTCTGAGGTTCATTTCAAGATTCATGAGCTGGAAGGTCGCTGCAGAGACCTGTCAGGAGAGAGACATGCTCATTCCCTGCAGGGCTTACTACAGAATATGCACAAGCCACGAGCTGTGTGTACTGGGACCCAGCAAGGCATCAGAGGTTGAGGCTCCGTGCCAGCCTGGCTCCATCTCTAAAGCTCCATCTCTAAAGGCGTCTGCATGCAGTCCTTTTTAATTGGGCCTGTGAGTGGCTATTTATCAACATCAGCAATGGGCTGAGCCCCGCTCTTGACTCAAGGAAATGGAGCAGAGAGAAGCACCATTCCTCTATCCTTCCATGAGGTCTGTGAGCACAAGGCTGTCTGATAAATCAGGAGGGCTCCAGGCAAGGTGCGCTCTGTGTGAAAATGCACTTGGCAGGAAGCCATGCTGAGGACAAGAGCTCCCCCACCATCCCCCAGAGGGTATGAACCCAGTATTCTTCAAGTCTGCATCCCTAATACTCTTAACAAGACTTCCTGAAGAAGGTTAAATCTTAAAACATCAGCAAAAGAGGCCAGACTTTCAGAACATGGCTGGTTGTCAACTCTGTAATGTATGAAATGCAATGCAAAAGGAAGTCGCTCTTTGCTAAAACAGCCACCACCATTCCAGGGGAACTTGGCAGTGCTACAGGCCATTAGTCATCCCTTTACGTAAATCCTGTCTATGGGTCTGTACAGTGACTGGGGGAGTCCCTGCTTTATCCTATTTTGTAGATAGTGGACCCACGCCACCTTAGGCAGACCTGGCATTTCCTCAAGGTCACACAATTGGTAAAAAAGGAAAGGCTGAAGGATTCTTAGCTCTCAGGAGGCTCCAGTTCTGCTAGGTTCTGTTGTACTCTGGTGAGAACATGCTTGACTCCTCTCCCTCCCTCCCTCCCTCTCTTCTCAGAGCACAGAACACAGCTATTCACTGCCAGGTTAAGGTTTGTGAGGCATCCTCTGCGGTAGTAAGGAACACAGGGGTACAAGGTAAGCAGCAGTGAGCTAGCATCTAATGGTCCACTTGGAGCATGATGCTGAGAGGTCTGTCTTCTCATTCATCACTGAGTCTCCTGCCAGTGGGAAGACCCATGCTCAGGGACAGCGTACACTTCCAGTGGGAGCATTCACTGGCCATGGCTACAGAACACATGCTGTGTCTTCTGTGTCCTCCTAGGGAACCAGAAGAAATGTCCCCAGAGCACCAGGACAGCATGGCTACGTGACTGTTGAAATCACCCACCAGCATGTGGTGACCACAGGACTGCAAACTGATAAGGTTGGGGCTCCTCAGCCATCAAGATGCCCACCCTGGCATCAATCAAAGCAAGGGCAATGGCGGGATGGTGGCCATGAGACCCAGGGCCGGTAGGTCACAATGTACTCCTTGACCTTCTTCTGCCTACTGCATATTAGACAAGAAGGATTCTGGAGAGTGTGACCCACTTCAGGCAACAGAGCCTGCTAGGGATGACCAAGAATCACTCCTTTCTCATCTGTCCCACGGCATCCATTAAAATCCCAGTGTTCCATTGTGTCACTCTTTTTCCACTTTTTAAAAAATGTATTTACATATTTTGAAACAGGGTCTCACTCTGTGGCACAGGCTGGCCTTGAACTCCTCCTGTTTCAGCTTCCCAAAAGGAAGTATTACAGGCATACCACCACATGTAGCTACCAGTGTTCATTTTAAAACAGAATGAATTGTAAGCATGTGACTGTTATCATAGCTGCCAAAGAAGAGCTCGCTACTCATCTGGTCTAGGTTCTCTATTCACACTTGGAGACAAAGCCCCAACATCCCCTCTGTGGCCATGGACACCACTTAAAGTTTCTGACATGTCCCACTAAAACCAGAACTTCAGAGGAGGAAGGAAGGAGGACCACTCAAGGCCATTCTCCCTCTACCCATGAAAAGGTTCTTTCTTGCTTGTCATCCCATCCTAAGTTTGGCCATGATTTTCCACAATGTGACTTGAGCAAACATATCTAGATATCCTCTGGCTTGAATCTGATGAAGTCTCTCCCTTCATGAAAAGGACATTCAGACATCAGAACTGCCAGAGACCCAAGTGATCACTCTGTCCTTGTTGGTAAGTCTCTGGTGTCTGGTCCCCTGCGAGAGACCAAGAACCAACAGGGTGGACACAAAACATCGACTCTGGGGCCATTGAGCTTGTGACTCACTGGCCCACGTGGTGACATCTGACTTCCTGAAAGTGTAACCAAGAACACCTGCTGGGAACAGACCATATGACAGCTGAAATAAATACTGAGTTCTTATGTTTTAATAAATATGGTATAAGGGAAGTGCCTCAAAGCAGGATGCAGTCCTCGAGAGCGATGCCAGGTCCTGCCTATCAAACCAACCAGACCCATCATCTGCAAGACTTTGTTCACAAATGGAAACTATAAACAGATACACATACACTTAGCAGCCACCTCACCCTTGCTCACTGCTGGGTGATGGTTGCTCTGAATTCACCTCAACAGACCCCTCCACTCATAGCCCTGTATTCTATCCACCCAGTCTAAGGCCTCAGTGCATGGGACTGGCTACCAGGGAATCAAACTTTCTCTTGTGTATCCCCCCAGCTCCCTGGCTGGGAAGGTCTCTTGCTATCCTGCAGTGTCCAGAACCCCATGGTGAGTGAGTGGTCCCTGGGGAGCCAACCCACATACAGAGAGAGCGCAGCCACAGACTTGGGGGTCACAGTGGAAGCAGAAAAAAAGAGAAAAACAAGGACTGCAGGGGTTCTACAGGAGAGGGGCTGGGACAGGAGCATGACATTCAGTTCAGAGCAAAACCAGCTCCTGGGGAAATCAATGCGCAGAGTGTGATAGCATCTGTTGGCACTGGAGCCTCCTTCATAACCATGGTCCACATGCCAATGCCAAGCACACAGAATATGTGACATTGAACTGTTTATTTCTAATAACAACATCCTTAAAGCAGCTCATTCCAGTTTATCTGAAGCATGCACCTGTCCAGAGTCATGCTGATGCCTCCAGTCTCATGCACGTCTCCTGTCTTCTGGGGGCTTCTCCATGGTTGGCTTCAGAGTGAGCATTAAGGTTATGAGGTCTGAGTAGAACAATGCTCCAGGAGAAAGCGGTTTCCAGTCCTTATGGGGACATTTGTCCATCACGTCTCTCCTTCTTGTTCACTCCCGAAGGTCACAGTGTGCTATGGACAAGGTTCTCCATGCCCCTTTGGCCAGAGTCAACCTGGCTCCTCACTGATACTTTTCCCCAGACAGGTCTTGATTGTGAGGCTGTCTTGGTACTGTGGCTCTTCTATCTGGGCTTTGGGTTCGTGTCCACCAGATAACAGTGGCATTTCCAGGTCCTGAAGAGCAAGTATGTCTCTATAATTTGGAATGTTCTGTACAGGGACCTCCCTGGCTTGGAAGTACTGAACAACCAGGGCTTGTGTGGTTTTGGAGCCCATCAGCAGGAGGATGTTGGATAGGAGGTCTCCACATTTTCAGTAATGAAAAAAAAAAAAAAAAACAGTTTCAGAATCCCAGGGACTGACTATTACTTGTCCACTTTCTTGGACTTTAAGCCAGAAATCTGCTGACCTCTGCAGGTGAGTGTCAGGGATTCTACACAAAAAAGAACAGGTTTTGGGGCTGGAAAGAGTCCACAGAAGTTAGCAGTGTTTACTGCTCTTCGAGAGGACCCATATTTGGTTCCCAGCACCCACACAATGGCTAACAACCATCTGTAACTCCAGTCTCCAAGGATCTGATGTCCCTTCTGGTCACTGTATGTATGTGGTGCACATTCGCTCATACACACACAAACACACACATACACACAAGTACCCATGAAAATGATAGATAGATAGATAGATAGATAGATAGATAGATAGATAGATAGATAGATGATAGACAGACAAATAGATGGTAGATAGATGATAGATAGACAAATAGATGATAGATAGATGATAGATAGATAGATAGATAGATAGATAGATAGATAGATAGATAGATGATAGATAGATAGATGATAGATAGATAGATAGATAGATAGATAGATAGATAGATAGATAGATAGATAGATAGACAGATGATAAATATGATGAATAAAAAGAACTGGCTCTACAGAGAATCATCACCCACCAGTGGGACTGTGGGGGATTGTGAGGTAGTGGCGGTCCCCTAGCAATTAAGTGGTAGGATAGAGATGCTCTTCCATATCCAGCTATAGAGACCTGGGAAGAAATAGCCCAGTCCCAAGATTAAGAGAGAACAACCCAGGAAATTTCTAAAGGACACTGGCCTTTTCTCCATCTCTGGCTCGTGAGCTGCCCCCATGTGCTGCCCCACCACCACCTCCTGGAGTAGCAAAGCCACAGCAGTGTGTCCATGTCAGCACAAGAATAAAAAGAATACAGTGGATGTCTGTCTTCTCTGGTCTTCAGGGAAGCTGCCTCATGCACCCCCAGAACAAAATCAAGCTAAACAGTGCTACAAATGCATGTTGGGAACACCCCCGACAGAGGGGAAGGAGTTCCTGCACCTGACTTCAAACATAATGACTCCCTAGAGCCCAGCTTCCACAGAGGAGGATTTGACTCCACACCTGAGCTTATTAGGGTGCCCTTAGCAAAGAAGGTCAGACTTAGCACACTGTCTATGAAATCAGCCCTGAAAGCCTCCCAGCACTGAGGGGAGCTCTGTCCCAAGTGGGAGTGTGCCTCTACGCACTCTAGTTCACATCCCTGGACAGGTCAGAAGCCTCCACTGAGGGTGCACACCGAGCTGTGGTGGGTGTGGCATAAGAGGCCGGCATGCTCAGGGGCTCAGATAAACTCCACAAAAGCCAAGTGCCCTTCTCCACTGCTGACCAGCAGTTTACCTGTCATCCCGAGCATCGGAAATGTGAGGCTGCATTGCACGCTGATTGGACTCCAAACAATAGCTGATTCTGGATGAAAACAATCTCACTTTTTTAAAGAAGAAATACTATTCATTTGGATAATGAGCATTAGATCAGAATTCTTGGTAAATATTTAGATTGAGTACCTGGGGAAGAAAGAGGCCAAATTAGTTATAATTAATCACATATAACTCATTACTTAGTAACGTGCTTCTCACTAGAGAACCACTGGGTGAAGGACCCTGCAAGACCCCAGGCTCCAAGCCAAGCTCACTTGAAGGAGGCAACAGCCCCTCTCGTTCTGACAATGACAAATACAGGTTCAGTGGAGGCACTCTCTCAGGAGCCCTCCTCAGAGGGGCCAGTTACAGTCAGGGGTGGGCTACAATTCATTCTGAGCCTCTGCATGGCTCATAGCTCAGAGGGGATCAAAGGGTCAGGATTGTAGTCGCCCGAAAGTCTCCCGCAGTCCTCGAGTCCTTGGGAAGGCCACTGAAATGCAGGACCTAAGAACCTCTTCCTCTGCGGGAGGAAGCACCAGTTGGCATCATGGCAGGACACTGCCGTCCTTCAGAGAGAAGAGTCTAAATTACTACGTGTGTGAGTGATGGTTCTGAAAGGAAATGCAGCCAATGATGGGAAGGACACTGTGCATCCACCCACATGCACAGAAAAAGAACAATAACCTGCAGACAGTGAGCACTGAGGAGAAAGGAACATAGCCCCATCTCTATAGGGGGGACTCGGGCCAGAGGTTCCTACACAGATCAGCTGCTGCCTCAGGAGATGGTGGGAGGGTAGACACAGGTTTCTTTTGGGGACTGCAGCCCTGGACCTGGAGGAGACCCACATACGTTGCCTCCACGCCTCCTTGGCTTGTTCCTTATGCCTTTTACTACCTCTTAGTCCTCTCCGACTCTGTGGCACACCTCCCCACAGCCTCCCTCGGGTTTTCTCCAGGGTCTTGGAACACATGAGCCTCTGGGGACATTTCACATTCAAACCACAGGAAGGGCTGGGGGATCCCATGGGGAGTAAAGTGCCTGCTGTATAAATGTGAGGACTGGAAGTTCAGATTCCCAAAAACCCATGCAAATGTCAGGAGGGCTGGCTCACCTAGAATGTCACTGTTTGGACACTAGAGACAGGAGAGCCCCACGGTGAGCCAACTAGCTGAGATTAGCCAAATCGGCCAGTTCAACTGAGCAATGTAAGATGGAGTGATGGAGAAAGGCACCTGAGGTCAGCATGTAGTCTCTACATGCATGCATACACACACACACACACACACACACACACACACACACACACACACACACACGAACATGGATATGGACATACAGACGTACCACATGTATGTACACCAAAACAATTAAAAACACACAACACCCAAAACATCCACTCACAGAAATATCCAGAACAATGTTTGACCAAAAATATCAGCAGAATGACTCGCACACAACGCCCCATCTCAGAGTGTTCCTACGTGTTCATCAACAGCCAATGTGTGGTTCATGTCTGATGCGGTCCTCCACTGACAGGTTCCTTGTCGGATACATCTTGGTCATCCACTGACATAGAACTCCAGGGTCATGGGGCTGCATAGTCTCGTGGACTCACTTTCTCCAGCCAAACCCTACTTCCTGAAAGATCCACAACCTTCTGAAAGAGCACTACCAGCCAGAGTGAGGGTGTGAGTCATGGGGAGGGGGCAGGGGGTTGAATTGAGAGTCTTGTGCTTGGTCATATTCCCTGACCACTCTCTGATTCCTATTCCTCCAAGGCGTGAAGAGGTGAGAACTCCCTTGTCTATGCCTCTGCCAAGAGCTAGCCAGGTCTCACCATGTCTCCCTCTCTACGGTGACCTGTATCCCCTCCAGGCCAAGTCACTCCTTGTCAGATATCCCAGCAACCAGAAGAGTTACTGATGTAGACAAGTTTAACATTAATTCGGTGAACAGCAAGCAAAGGAGGTGACCCTCCCCAAGGTGGTGGCCTCCTCCAGATAGTCCCTTTCTGCTCTTAGTGACACAATACCACAGACCAGGTAGCTCCATAAAGAAAAGAAGTTTGACTCATGGCTATGGAGGTGAAAGGTCAAGGGTCACATCTGGTGATGGCTTCTTGCTGGCAAAAATCTCAAGGTGATGAGGATGGTGAGGAATGGAGAGCTTATGCATACTTTCTTGTGTCTTTCTCTTTTCCTATAAAACCACCAGGACTCACTCTTGGGCTTCAACCTGATGACCTGGTCCTAGTCATTCCCGAGGCTGCCATGTAGATACCACAATGGAGGGGATTTCCTGCTTTCTATACCTCACACTAGAGAGTAAACAGCAGTGCAAATCTCATAGCAAATCATGGCACAGTTGAAGGCCTGCATGGAACAGAGTCACAGGTCCTTGGAACAAGAGGGATTCACAGCAGATGACCTGACCCAGCCTGCAGCCTTGACTCTTCTGCCAGGCCACTCAGAGCACTGTGGACTTGCCCATCTGCATAACTGCACAAACCAGTTCCTAAAATAAGTCACTTTCCAGATACGAAGCTTTTCAACCCAATCAAGCTTTGTCAGGTTGAAAATGCCATAAACTGAAAATGCGTGGTGTACACCTGACCCTCTGACCTTGTAGCTTAGCCTCTCCCGCCCTAATCAAAACACTTAACCTCAGCCTACACCTGAGGAAAATCACGAACTGATGGTGTAAGAAGAGGTTGGCAGTTCAGGTTGTGTGAAGAGAAGAAGAGGAAGAGCCAAGCAGCTGTGCAGGTATACTTCCACACCATCTCAAGTCCAAAAGCCTGTCAAGTTGAACCTCCCCAACCAAGGATAAACAACATGTCTAGGCACACATCCTACCCATTCTATTTCTTTGGAGTAACCCCTGAGAAACTCCCATGATTCCCCAACTAGCAGCAGTTCAGTGACCACAATGTGAGTTTGTAGAAGAATGAGAAAGAGCTTCCATGCTCTGTCTGTCTTGGTGCCCACCATCTCCCTAGCCATTGCCTCACATGTCTGGCCTCTCAGCCTCTTTCTTTGTGCCCCAATCTGTCCTTGATTCTAGGTCAACCCCAGGGCAGAAATGATATATAAGTACATAAGGCTTTCCTCCTCACCTTTGGTGCAGAGCCAGTCAAGTTCTGGTTTGGGGACACAAAAGACTTTAGATCAGTGGTTCTCAACCTTCCTATGTGACCCTTCCATACAGTTCCTCAGGTTGTGGTGACCCCCAAGCATAAAATTTTTTGGTTGCTACTTCATAACCGTAATTTTGCTACTGTTATGAATTGTCATGTCAATATCTAATATGCAGAATACCTGATATGCATCCCCCTGTGAAAGGGTCCTTCATCCCCAAAGGGGTCACAACCCACAGGTTGAGGACTGCTGCACTAAATAAAACTCAACATGGGAAGGATCAGAAAAGAGCACCCCAGGCAAGAAGGTCACAGTGCCCTGCTGGGGCTTCAGAACTGCTTCCATGGATAGTGGAAGAGATATCTGCTGCAACCCATGTGGCTCATGGAGCATCAGCAGGCTCTCCTACAATCTTGTATCCATCTCTCATCCCACAACTGGGAACATCTTCTGTCTCCTCACCTTGAGAACTCAGTGGATCCATTAACACAGACACATGCTGGCATGGAGAATCCAGGCAGTGCGGTGGGCACATGTCGGTGTGTCGGCTTACAATGTCCCTGAGGAATGAGACTCAAAAGGATGTGACAGTTAGTTCTGTGCACACAGACATTTAAAGCCTGGTGCATTTGGGCTCTCAGAAGCAAGCACGGAGCAACACTGGTGAGAGACCAGGGGGGGTAGCACCTGGGTATGTCATGTGATGCTTGCCTTGGGCATCTGCTGTTTCTCCTCCTTTCTGGCCCACCTTACCACAGAGCTGATGGAGAGAGCTGGCACTCCATGCTGCTCTAGAGAGGGTGCCTGGAGAGCTGTGAATACCTGATGCCAAGTGAGAGAACAGGGAGGTGTGAACATCTAGGAACAGATTTGGCTCCACAGCACAACAGTGATGAAGCTCCTAACTGTTCCAGCTGTCCCCAGAGCCAATGCCTTCGGTCCTAGTGGGTGTCATCCAGAGGGACGGGGGCAAAGAGACAGTCGGGACTCAGAGACCCACAGGAGACTGTGTTGCCTTGTTCTCGGCTTCCTCCTGATTTCCTGTGGGAAGACCCAGATCATCTCTCTCCTTGGAAACCACCAACTCTGATTCTTAGGCAATGTCTGTTCCCAGGCCACACAGCTCCAGAAGTTTGGAGCCACACTGTGGGTAAACCACAATCATGGTGGGAGAGGATGGTATAGACAGATATAAGATGTGAACATTACCTAGACTCTGGGCAAGAAGAAGCTTCCCACCCTTCTCAGAGAATGTCCAGCCTCCAGAGAGCCATGTGCTGGGCCACACTCACCCTGCTGAGACCTTATTTGCACAATGAACAGAGCGAGGCCACCCTGAGGTCTACACAGTGACCCAATTTAACTTCCTAACTCAGTCCAGGCATCTGGAACTACCTTTATTTACAGTGATAACACTTGACAGAGACCAAATCTGACCAAGTAAAAAGGTAACAACAGAAGTCTCTGTCCAGACACATAGGTTCGAATTCTGGGCCCAGAATTTAATATGGGATATAGGAAGAGAGACATTGCCATTCTCCATCCATTTTGGCAGGAGCCAGGACACAGAGGCAGCTACGCTTTTGCACTGGTTAGCCTAAATAGTCACAGAATCAACTCTGTTCCTGTCTCATCAAAATAACCATTGTGTTAAGAGGTTTTTTTGTTTAAATCATCTTACTGTTTGGCACTTGGAAAAGTTACCATGCCAGTGTGGTGTGCACATGTGTGTTAAGACTTGCTCAGCACATTAATTCTAATTCTAAATGAGCTCTGAAAGTAAAACTTCAAAGGCATTCTATCAACTTGTAATTTTTCTTAGAGCAGCTACTGAGGTCCGCAGGGACGTGTGGCTTGTCCCCAGCAGCAGTACACCCTGCAAGGCTACCCCATGGAACAGGGATGTCACCAACAGAAGGGACTGGCTCTGGATGGCACCAATAAAAACAACAGTCATAATCCTAATGACACCAAAGTAAATGGACTGAAACAAGAAAAGTTCTCCGATTAAAAAAAAAATGCCAGTGATCCTCACTGACAACAGCACAGCTCCACCAGTCTCCTCTCTGGCCCGCTCTGCAGAGGGCAGTTTGGAAAACACACAACCAGAGGCATCTGCCGAGGGCTGAATCTCTCTCTTCCTCTATTGCTCACTAAGAATGTAACTGTGAAAGTGTCACATGACCTGCACCCTGCCCCTAGTCCCTGCTAAAACCTGAGGTTCAGAAGGCCCCAAGAGACTAGTGCACACTGGTGATTTAACAGGAAAGGATAGCCAGCCTAGAGCCTGGCACATAGTAAAGACTGATGACTGCCCCCTTGCCAAATGTGGACAGATGTACTAGAAACAAGGTCAGTGAACATTTTGCTTTATACCCCCCAAAAGACTTTCTAATATCTGTGGAAAGAAAGAGTACCCAGGGCTTTATAATGGTCAGAGCATCCTCTAGAGGTAGGTACATATGAAAGAGAAGGGGGAGGGAGGAAAGGAGGGGGGAGGGAGGGAGAGAGAGAGAGAGAGAGAGAGAGAGAGAGAGAGAGAGAGAGAGAGTGAGTCACTTGGAGGAGTTACAGGGGAGGGAGGGGTATGGGGATGGCTCGGATAACAGAGGTATTACCTGGCATCAACTTTGCCACTAACCAAGTGATAACCACAGATTGTCAGTCAGGGTCCATGAACACATTTTCTCAAAGGACTGTGAAAGGACTGGGTCAGTTTACATATGGACACTATTTAGATTCCATCCTAAGTTCTCAGTATTAGTCATATGTGTAGTTCCAGGGTCAGCAAAGTAAGACCCCTACCTGTGTGTGCAAATAAAATCTTAGGTGAACCACTCAGCTCGTGTCCTTACACCTGAGGACTGCATGTGTAATGTGTTTTCACACTGCCGTGGAACACCAGATCCCCAACGCATTAGGCTCTCCTAACTATAGCAGATGCTGTCACACTCTACACTTCTATCTGCATGAGTTAGTGCAGAGAGATCACTGCCCAGGCTGCGGACCGCTAAGGAGACTGTTGTTCTATTTCCTATTGCTGTGGTAGAATACCCAGATTAAGCCAGAGGGGTTGAATTTGGCTTAGAACTTCAGATGGATAGATACCACTGTATTGGGGAAGACATGGCCACACACAGAAGACAGAAGCAGGAAGCTGGTTGGTCACATTGCATCTACATGCAGGAAACAGAGGAATGCATGCATGTATGCCTACTGCTCAGCTAGCATCCTACATGCTTATACAGCCAGGAGCCCCACATCAGTGAACAGTGGGTGCCCTCCACTTTCAGGTTGGGTCTTCCTACACCCATGAAGACAGTGCAGACAATCCCCACGCACATGTCCACGAGCCGATCTTATAGAGACAGCCTCTCACAGAGACCCGCTTTCTGGGTGATTCTAGGTTGGGTCAATTTGACACAGCTGTGGCTGAGCCAAGACCAACTGTGAGATAGTACCGCTTAGTATGCCAGGCGTGTCTGCACCCATGATCTGAGTAACAAGAACACTAGAGTGAGACAAGGCCTCTCAGTGTGTCAAACACTTGTCCCCATGGGTGACCTGAGTAACAGGAACACCAGCTCTTGAAACCCTCCCATCTTTTGGTCTTTGGAAGGAGTAACTGAAGCTCCGGTCCTTAGGCATTCCTAATTAGTAAGCTTAATTATCACATTAACACTTACCACTGGGATTTTTTTTCACTTTCAGTCATCTTTTGTGCTGTTATTCCAATTAATTGTGTTGGGAGACCATGAGTCTGAGCTTCAAAGAATGATGTGTGATTTTTGAAGTATGGCATTTGATCACAGGATTGTCTCAGACAGTTTCAGCATCTGCAAGGGGGAGTTGGAATATTATGCAGTCCTTTATGCTTATAAAAATTGGCAATAGAGACATATCATAAGTAAATGTGTGAGTGTATACATACATACATACATACATACACATACACACACACACACACACACACACACACACACACACATGTGTGTTGTGTCAGGGTGTTTTTATCTGACACCTGGGATAACGATCAGAAGAAATTTCCCTGTTTCTGCTCATCCATTTGTCTCCATACACACCATCAACACATTCTAAAATGTAACCTCCTTTCACTATTTCTGGTTCCCCAAAAGCTTAAGGTTGAGATTTCCCTGATGCCTGATAGCCATGTTGACAATATGAATACAATGATGCAGTCAGGTAGCCATGTTGACAATATGAATACAATGAT